ATTATGACTTTATGCTCGTAACATTATGACTTTATGCTCGTAATTTTATGACTTTAATCTCGTAATTTTATGACTTTAATCTCGTAATTTTATGACTTTAATCTCGTAATATTATGACTTTAATCTCGTAATATTATGACTTTAATCTCGTAATATTATGACTTATTCTCATAATGTTATGACTTTATTCTCGTAATATTATGACTTTATTCTCATAATAATAATTTAAAAAATCTCGTTGTGTGGCCCTAATACTCCATCATAGTACTGCTTCCAAAAACAGTCCAAGCACCAAAAAAAAAAAAATAAATAAAAATAAATAAAATGCACCCAGAGGTATTTTTACTATAAGTAAATATATTTTTCTGACCTTTTTTCAAACACCGTGACATCACAAGTCGCACTCCAGCCCACCCCAACCTGAGCCCAGCTCATCTCCTGGTAACGCAAGTGAAGACTCCGCCCACTTCTTCACAGGATGGTTCTGCTGTTTTAGAACAGTCATGGAGAACAGATGTGTGGATTAATTTTATTTTATTTTTATTTTTTATGGCAAAGTTCTAGCAATATTAACAAAGAAAGTTGTAGTTTGTGTAAATAATTTCACCATGAACCACTTTGGAAAAATAGTACTTTCTACTGAAAGGAAACTGAAAGAAAACTTCTGTTGGGGGGGCGGAGCTAACATAAACAAAAGGTTAGGAGGGGGTTTCCATAGGAACTTACGCAAAGCGGCACCTTCTGAAGAGAGCTGAAGAACAGGCAGAACTGAAAAGATTAAATTTCAATATCAGAGATTAATTTTGTGAATTAAATCAAATGAACATGTTTTCTATAGCCCACAGATGGATCCGAACTTGTTCTAGGACCCTCATATTAGGTCACCTTTAAAACGTCATTTAAAACGGATGTTTATGCAAATATAAAGAAATGTGTTCTTGAATCTAGGGGACCGTAGCGTATCAAAACCATCTGTAGTTAGTGTTCATATGAAAACAAGGAAGAGATCTGTTTTTAGTATTGAATGGACCTGCATATTTAAGTTTATGTATCAGGATGTAAATCCATTTTATGTTTTGTTTTAATTTGTAATATTTGCACATGTGCAGTGCACTAGGGTGCATATTGTGTGTACATCATTGATAGAAAAACTGCCAACAATTAATATTTGCCACTTAGCAAGCACTGCAATTAGTGCCATGTGATGATGTCATATTATTGTGTGTGACAGAAAAAGGCCAGTTAGCTAGCCACATAGTTTCCTGTAGTTAGCGTATAGCATAGCCAGCTTACTATCAGGATGGCTGTCCAGATTTCTAGCAAGATAGCTCTTCAGTATGCTAGCTACGTAGATAGTTGGCCAATTAGCTAGCCACATAGTTGCTAGTTAGTTAGAATATAGCATAGCCAGTTTATTATCAGGATATTTGTTCAGCTGTCTTTATAGATAGTTGGCTAGACATACAGTAGCTGACAGCTGGACACACACAGAGCAAGTCAAAGGGGACAGGGTTGGGGGACAGGAAAGAGACACAGCCAAACACAGAAGAACTGGTCCAGGTGCACCTACTTCTGGAAAGAGACAAAAAGAAAAAACATGTTATTTATAGAAATAATTACAATAAACAGGTAGAGAAGAGAGATTAAAGTCAACAGCAGAGTGAGGAAATGTGCTCAGTTTGTGCTCCAGCAGTCTAAGTCTATAGCTGCAGAAATGAGAAATAATTGAAGAAACCTAAGTCTAACTATAGGATTTATCAAAAAGGAAAGTCTTCAGTCTAATCTTAAAAGTAGACAGAGTGTCAGCCTCATGGACAGAAACTGGAAGTTGGTTCCACAAGAGAGGAGCTTGATAACTGAAAGCTCTGCCTCCCATTCTACTTTTAGAAACTCCAGGAACCACAAGTAAACCTGCAGTCTGAGAGTGAAGTGCTCTGTTAGGAAAATATGGAACAATAAGATGTTTAAAATATGATGGAGCTTGGTTGTTAAGAGCTTTGTATGTTAGGAGTAATATTTTAAAATCTTTTCTGAATTTGACAGGGAGCCAGTGGAGAGAAGATAAAACTGGAGAAATATGATTTCTCCTTCCAACTCTCATTAAAACTCTAGCGTTTTGGATTAACTGAAGACTTCTTAAAAAGTTTTTTGGATGTCCAGATAATAAAGAATTACAGTAGTTCAGTCTAGACGTGATAAATGCATGAATCAGTTTTTCGCGTCATTTTTGACAAAATGTTTCTAATTTTAGTGATATTATGCAGGTGGAAGAAGGCGGTCCTGGTAACATTTTTAATGTGGGGTTAAAAGACATATTCTGATCAAAAATAACACCAAGGTTCTTTACATTAGAACTGGAGGCCAGATTAATGCCATCCAGAGGAGGTGAAAGGCTGCAAAGTTGATCCCTAAGCTGTTCAGGTCCAAGAACCATAACCTCTGTCTTATCTGAGATTAGAAGCAGAAAATTAAGAGTCATACATGTTTTTATGTCTGTAAGACATTCTTGTAGTTTAAGTAACTGATTGGATTCGTCAGGTTTCATGGATAAATATAACTGAGTATCATCAGCATTACAATGGAAATTTATCCCATGCTGCTTAATAACTTTACCTAATGGAAGCATATACAAAGTAAAGAGGATTGGTCCAAGCACTGAACCCTGAGGAACTCCATGACTAACTCTGGTGTAAGAAGAAGATTCATTATTAACATTAACAAACTGAAATCTACGAGTTAAATAAGACTGTTATGGAAATATTTATTAAACAAAGACAGAAATACGTGGTCCAACAATGAAGGTAGTCCGTGGAATGATCAGCTGAGTTTTATTTGCAACATCAGGAACACAGAACAACATCGAACCATCAGACTGTACCCCTGATCTCTGCTCCTGTTTCCCTGCTTCTGCTGTAGTTGAGGAAGTTGAGGCCTCATATACAGTATATTGTTTAACAAACACTATTATGTGATCTTAATAACTTAAGGAAATACTAGGTCAAGGGAAAACACAAAGATAAACACAATTGATATCTAAGAATGGTTGTTGTTATCAAATCTTGTTCTGACTTTAATCATTATATCTGCTGATAAACAGCATGTCATGAAAACTTAGGTCATTAAAGTATGTCATGAATTACTGGCTTGAACCTAAAAGTATTATTTCCATTACAAAGACTCAAACCATTTTAGAGCTGTTCCTGTAATCCTAATATCAAGTCTTCGTAATAAAATATTGTGATCAATTGTATCAAATGCAGCACTGAGATCTAACAGGACAAGAATGGACACAAGTCCACTGTCTGAGGCCATGAGAATATCGTTAGTAACTTTCACCAGTACTGTTTCTGTGCTAGGATAAGCTCTAAATCCTGACTGAAACTCCTCATAAAAAGTATTTCTATCCAGATGTTCACTTAGTTGATTTGCAATTATTTTCTCAAGAATTTTTGAGATGAATGGGAGATTAGATATACTGTAGGTCTATAGTTGGCCAGAACTCCTGAATGAAGATCAGGTTTCTTAAGTAAAGGTTCAATTACAGCAACCTTAAAGCTCTGCGGCACATAACCATTCATTAAAGATAAATTAAGTACATCTAAAATATAAATATTAATTAAGGGAAATGCTTCTTTGAACAGTCTGGTTGGGATGGGATCTAGCAGACATGATGTTGGTTTGGATGAAGCTATTATTTTAGATCAGGGTCACCAAACTTTTTGAGACTGAGAGCTACTTTTGGGGTACTGAGTAACACAAATGGCTACTTCTTCAATACAAACATAAATTGGCATGACTCACCTTTATTTATGTGTGTGTGTGTGTGTGTGTGTGTGTGTGTGTGTGTGTGTGTGTGT